TTGCTTTTTGAGACAGGGTCTCCCTGTAGCCCCAGCTGTCCTGGAACTCACTATGTAGACCAAGCTGGCCTTGAACTTGAACTCACAGAGATCCTCCTGCCTCTGCCTCCCAAGTGCTGGGATTAAAGGCATGCGCCAACATGCCCGGCCCTATAACTATTTTTAATTGAATCAAGATATGTTAATTACAAAGAGATAAGATAGTAACTTAGCTTGTTTGTTTGTTCTCAGTACAGGTGTCATTACGTAGGCCAGGCTGACCTGGACTTACCATATAGCCTGGCCTGGCCTGGGACTTGTGACTGCCTTGTAGTCTTTGGAATGATTATAGGTGAGTACTGGAGTGTAGGCATACACCACCACTCCCAGCCAAAATAGTAACTTTACAGTGGAGAAATCTGGCAGATACTGCATGAAATAGCATGAACAGTCACTATTCTAAGTATAAAAACTTATTATAGAATAGTAACTAAGAAAGTATGGAACAGAATCCAGAAAGATTGATCATATATGGGAAGTTTTAAAATGTTGATAATTTAGATCTGTGGAGGAAAGCATTAACTATTATTCAATAAATAATTATCCGTATTGGACTGGGGCTATAGCTTAGTGGTACATGTACTGCTTGCTTAGCATGTGTGATGACCTTGGTTCAATCAAAAGATAAACAAAATAAAACAAATCAATTGTCCATGGAAAGACAATTATATTTGTACTATTCACATATATAAGAATTCCACATGAGTTATGATGTTGAATGTGAAAAACAGATATGTTTTAAAAGGCTAAGGTTGCAGCTTAATGTTATAGCACTTGCCCCGAACACATCAAGTTTTGGGGTCAATCTCCAGCACAGCAAAGAAAAAAAAAAAGACTTAGTAATGGCTGAATAGATCACATATCCTATTTTCCTGGAGGAAAAAAAATATAAACTCTGGACAACTAATCCCTGATATACTCAGGGCAATGACCAAAAGGAAGCAGATGTTGAAGAAAAGTCAACACTGAGATGAGAAGGCAAAGTGCAATATTCCAGTTGTATGGCTTTTATCCTGGGAACATTGGAAACCTGTCATATAAGTGAATATCTATCACATATGACCCAATAGTTCTAATCCAAGGTGTTCACCTAAGAGACATGAGAACATTTTCCCAAAAACTGTTACACAACATGCATAGCAGCTTTATATGTAGTAGCTAAAACCTGAAAACAACCTAAAGTTCATCAAAAGGAGAGAGGACAAACTGTGATGCACACACTGGAATACGACCTCAGCTTATGCAAATCTATGCTTATGCAAATCAGAAGTGATGATGTGTTGGGGAACCCTGTTGTTAGAGTTGCAGTTTCTCCATGTCCAGATAGCCCTGAGGGGCTCGGCGCCAAATGGAAAAACTCCCCTTTTCAGCAGGGGGCCTCCTGCTCTCTTCCTGGTTCACCTTGAAGTGCCGCCAACCACGGATGCCTGACCTTATCTAAAAACATGGCCTTTAGCATAGTTACCTGAAGTAAAAACTACCCGCAGTTTTTTTCTATATGATAATCAGGCACTGTCTGACAGTCTGGAAGACAGAAGCCCACTGCCACATGTAAATAAAGCATACTATGAGCACCTATCAACTGAGGCTTTTGCTACTGCCTCCACACTATAAATTCTCTAGTTTCCCCTTAATTAATCGGAGCTGAATCACTAAGACCTGGAGCCGAGCTGAGTCACTG